AGGCGCATCACGAGGTCAGGAGTTGGAGGCCAGCCTGGCCAACATGGTGAAACCCCGTCTCTACTAAAAATACAAAAACAATTAGCTGGGCGTGGTGGTGCATGCCTGGAATCCCAGCTACTCGGGAGGCTGAGGCAGGAGAATCACTTGAACCTGGGAGGTGGAGGTTGCAGTGAGCAGAGATCACGCCACTGCACTCCAGCCTGGGCGATGAGCAAGACTCTGTCTCAAAAAAAAAAAAAAAAAAAAATACACGGACCTAAATGAAAATGCAGCATATCAAAATTTGTGAGATAAAGCTAAATACAACAATGCAGATTATCTGTAGCACCAGTGCGTACATTAGAAGACAGGAAAAGCTTTCCTCAAATTGATAATCTAAGCTGTCATTTCAAGAACCAAGAGAAAGAGAAACAAAACCAAACTAAGCAGAAGGAAGGACATTTGAAGAGCAGAAATCAATGACATTGAAAACAGAAATCAAACAATAGAGAAAATTAATGACACCTAGCTGGGTCTTTGAAAGATTAATAAAACTGATGTTTTATTAATCTTTGCCTCTAGCAAGGCTGACAAAAAGAACGTAACTTACCAATATCAGGAATGAAATGGGATGTCACCACAGACCCTGCAGATATCAATACTGCAAACAATTCTATAAGTTTGACAACTTACACAAAATGGATGAATTCCTTGCAAAACACAAATTAGCGCAACTCATCCAATATCAAATAGATAATTTGAGTTGCCCTGTTACTATTAAGAAAACAGAATTTGTAATTTTAAAACCCCCAAAAATGGCCAGGCACAGTGGCTCTTACCTGTAATCCCAGCTCTTTGGGAGGCTGAGGTGGGAGGATTCCTTGAGGCCAGGAGTTCAAGACCAGCCTGGGCTAGCAGGATCCCATCTCTAATTAAATTTTAAAATATAAAACATTATTTTTAAAACGGAAAAAAATTATCCCTCCAAAAAAATCTCTGGGCCCATATGATTTCACTGGAGAATTCTATCTATCAAATGTTGAAAAATGAATTAACACAAATTCTACACAATCTCTTCCAGAAAATGGAAGAGGAGAGCATACTTCCTCAAACCTAAAGACAGTACCAAAAAAAGAAAAATACAAACCAATATCCTTTATGACTATAGATGCAAATTCCTTATCAAAATGTTGGGAAATAGGATTCAGCAATATATAGAAATAATCATATACTGTGACCAAGTGGGATTTATTGCAAGGATGGAAGGCTGGGTCAATACTTGAAGCTCAATCAATGTAATCCACCGTATTGACACACTAATGAAGAAAAATCACAGGATCAGATCAGTTGATACAAAAAAAGCATTTTGTAGAACTCAACACCTGATGATAAAAATGCTCAGAAAAGTAATAGCAGGAAACTTCCTCCATTTAATAAAAGCATCTATTTAGTACAAAAAGTCCTGTCGCTAATATTTTTTTTTTTTTTTTTTTTTGAGACAGAGTATCGCTCTGTCACCCAGGCTGGAGTGTAGTGGCATGATCTCGCTGCAAGCTCCGCCTCCCGGGTTCACGCCATTCTCCTGCCTCAGCCTCCCTAGTAGCTGGGACTACAGGTGCCCGCCACCTCGCCCGGCTAACGTTTTGTATTTTTAGTAGAGATGGGGTTTCACCGTGTTAGCCAGGATGGTCTCGATCTCCTGACCACGTGATCCACCCGCCTCGGCCTCCCAAAGTGCTGGGATTACAGGGGTGAGCCACTGCGCCCGGCCTTCTGTCGCTAACATTTAATAGTGAAAGGTTGCATGCTTTCTGCCAGAGATCAGGAACAAGCGAAATATGTCTGCTGTCACTATTCTTATTCAACATAGTGGAAGTTCTAGCTAATCCAATAAGCCGAGAAAAGGAAATAAAAGACATGTAGATGGGAAAGGAAGAAATAAAATCCTATTTGCAGATGACACGATTGTCCTTGTGGAAAATCCCAACGGCTCTACAGAAAACTTGGAGAACTAGTAACTGAGTTCCTCAAGGTCACAAGATGCAAGGGATACAAGGTAAACATACAGAAATCCATTTTATTTCTATATACTATTAATGAGTACCTAGACACAAATTAAAAATACATTACCATGTATCATCACTCAATAAAAAAAGGAATACTTCGGTATTAATCTAATAAAACATGTACAGGACTTACATACCAAAAACTATAAAACGCTGATAAAAGTAATTAAAGAAGACCTAAATAAGTAGGCATATCATATTCATGGATTAAAAGACTCTGGATGATGTCAGTTTTCCCCAAATTGATATACAAATTTAATGCAATTTCTATGAAAAATCTCAGCAAGATTTTTTTTTGTAGATATGGACAAGATTGTTCTAAGATTTATATGGAAAGGCAAAGAAACTAAAATAGATAATAGATAAAGCAATTTTTTTTTTTTTTTTTTTTTTTGAGACGGAGTTTTGCTCTTTTGCCCAGGCTGAGGTGCAGTGGCGTGATCTCAGCTCACTGTAACATCCGCCTTCCAGTTTCAAGCGATTCTCCTGCCTCAGCCTCCCGAATAGGTGGGATTACAGGCACCTGCCACCATACCCGGCTAATTTTTGTGTTTTTAGTAGAGACAGGGTTTCACCATATTGGCCAGGCTGGTCTCGAACTTCTGAACTCAGGCAATCCACCCGTCTCGGCCTCCCAAAGTGCTGGGATTATAGCAATTTTGAAAAAGAGTAAAGTGGGAGTAATCGTTCTACCCAATCTCAAGGCTTACTATATAGCTGCGATAATCAAGACTGTGTGGTGTTGGTGGAGTGACATACCGTGATGGAACAGACCCACACAAACGTACCCTCCTGATTTTTATAAAGATACAAATGTAATTCAATGGAGGAAAGACAGCTCATTCAACAAAATGGCGCTGGAGCAATTAGACAATTATAGGCAAATAGGCTAGGCGCAGTGGCTTATGTCTGTAATCCTAGCACTTTGGGAGGCCAAGGCGGGCCGATCACCTGAGGTCATGAGTTCGAGACCAGCCTGACCAACATAGAGAAGAAACTGTCTCTACTAAAAATACACAATTAGCCGGGCGTGGTGGCGCATGCCTGTGATCCTAACTACTTGGGAGGCTGAGGCAGGAGAATTGCTTGAACCTGGTAGGTGGAGGTTACTGTGAGCCGAGATCGCGCCACTGCACTCCAGCCTGGGCAATAAGAGTGAAACTCTGTCCCCACAAAGCAACAAAAAAAAGGCCATGGGTGGTGCTCACGCTTATAATCCCAGCACTTTGGGAGGCCGAGGCGGGCGGATCACCTGAGGTCAGGAGTTCGAGACCAGTTTCACCAACATGGAGAAACCTCATCTCTACTAAAAATACAAAATTAACTCGGCGTGGTGGTGCATACCTGTAATTCCAGCTACTCGGGAGGCTGAGGCAGGAGAATCACTCAAACCCAGGAGGCTGAGGTTGCTGTGAGCCAAGATCACACCACTGCACTCCAGCCTGGGCAATAAGAGCGAAACTCCATCTCAAAGAAAAAAAAAAAAAAAAAGGGCAAAAGACATGAAGAGAAACTTCATTAAAGAAGTTATACAGGTGGCAAATATACCTTGAAAAGCTTTTCCACATTTTTAGCCTTAGGGAAATGCCAATTAAAACTACACTATTTTTCCACATCTATAAAAAGTGGTGACAGCATCAGATGCTGGTGAGGATGTGGAAGAACTGGGTCACTCATAAGCTGCTGGTGGGAATGTCAAGTGGCTGGAAAACTGCCCTGGAAAACAGTTTGGCAGTTTCTGTTAAAAACTAAACACGCAACCAGTGTACCTGAGCATTTATCCTGGAGAAATGAAGACATGTTTACACAATAGCCTACGCATGGATGTTCATAGCAGCTTTATTTGTAATAGCCGGAAACTGGAAATGACCTAGACAGCCTTCAGTGAGTGAATAAAATGTGGCCCCTTCATACCACAGAACGTCACTTGGCAGTGAAAGGAAATGACAACCTGGATGAATCACTGGATACAGATACAGTCCTATATCTTGACTTTTTTGGAGGAAACTGGGCACAGTGTGCATGGAATTTCTCTGTGTTGTTTCTTGCATCTGCAATTACTTAAAAATAAAAAGTTTAATTTTAAAATGCCCTGGGCAGTGTATTCACTGGGTGTTTACCCAGTGCACCTGAGGTTCTTGCTGTTGCTACCCCGCGGGCTGTTAGGATGCTAGTCCCCAGTGTGTCTTTAGGGCAGGGAGGAAATAGTGGGGTTATGGCAGACCTGCTTCTTGATGGAATCCTGCTGTCTGCTCTGAGGGAATTTTTCCTGGCTTTTTCAGCTTATCCCTGCAAGGTGTCTTGTCAGTAAGATCTGGGCGGAGCAGGGAGAGAACGTTGACTGAGGGGACGTTGCTAAGGTCTGGCTGGCCACGGATGGTCCCTGTGAGCTCCCATCTGGTACAATTACTTTTCCACGATCCGGGATCTGTAGGGACCTCCACACTTGTGACCTTGTTGAGGTGCTGCTGCTGCTACTGCAGTCACAGGCCTGGAAATTGCTATGGCTTGGCACAGTGTGTTTTGCTCACATGAGGTCTGGTATTGGGCCAGCCTCTGTGCCATCACGTCTGCCATCAGTTCAGCACAGAGGGGAGTAGAGAGGTGGCACGCAAGCTTCGATGTGCCTTTGCTGGCCTTGCCTGGAGCATCTCATTAGTTAGGATAATCTCATGCGCCCACCCAGCTATGAGCAGAATGGGGGGAGTGTTTATGGCCATGACCACCCCCAGGGTATGGAGCAGGAGGTCTGTGCAGCATGAGGGCTGGGGGCCAGCTAGTCATGTGCTTCCTCCTTCCACTCCCAGTTTCCAGGAAGGCCACCCTCAGTGCCCTGCTTTTCCTCTTCTGCATCCTGAGATGTTTGACTTCGAAGAGGAAGGGGTGAGGGAGGCCGGTCCATGCCTAAGCATGGTACAATTTGTTGGCATCCCTTCCCTCTCCTGATTTCAGAGAAGTTGATGACACCTGAGATGTTTTCAGAAATCCTCTGTGACGATCTGGATTTGAACCCGCTGACGTTTGTGCCAGCTATCGCCTCCGCCATCAGACAGCAGATCGAGTCCTACCCCACGGACAGCATCCTGGAGGACCAGTCAGACCAGCGCGTTATCATCAAGGTGGGTGACTTCTCACCCAGCACTGGAGCCTTCCTGGCCCTCAGGGTGGGTGTCATCATAGAGCACCGAGGGTACAACAAGGCCTCCCTCAGCAGAAGCCCGTTTTGGGTTCCATGTCATCTGGAAAGTCATAGCACCTGGCTTTGCTCCCTGCAATCCCCCAGGAAGGGCATAGGCTGAGTTCTCATAGTAAAGTGTTACATTCTGGACACATTCAGCGGGTGCCTCTGAGGCACTGCCAGGCTCTGAGCAAAGCTGGGAGGTCTAAAGAAGGTGAAGGCAGCTGATTGACTGGGCCAGGCTGAGCGCTTCAGGGTGACCTAGTAACCCAATAAGATGCTGCCTTAGTGGCCATATTACAGGTGAAGAGGTAGGTACATGGAGAGCTGAGATCACCTGTGGAAGTTTGGCCAGCTGAGAAGTGGTGGGGCTGGCAATCGGACGCAGGCCTGCACCCTGCAGAGCCTATAGCATAGTCCTTGCTGTGCTGAGGCGCCACTGCCAGACTATGCCTTGAGGGTGAGGGAAGCTTTGAAAATAGGAAGATATAAGAAGTAGGTGAAACTGGCACATGTGATGACTCTAAAAAGGTCAGTGGTTTGGTTTGATTTGATGCTGTGCCTTTGGCTTCCATTTTAGAAAAACATGAAAGCTTTCATTTCTTTTGGGTGTATACCTAGAAATGGAATTCCTGGATCGTACGGTGTTTAGTTTTTTGAGGAACCGCTACACTGCCTTTCTCAGTGGCTGCACCCTTTTATATTCCTACCAGCAATGCACAAGGGTTCCAATTTCTCCATATCCTCACTGACACTTGTTAGTTTTTCTCTTCTTTTCTTTTTTTAAGATAGTCTCGCTCTGTTACCCAGGCTGGAGTGCAGTGGCATGATCTTGGCTCACCGCAACTTCCACCTCCTGGGTTCAAGCAATTCTCCTGCTTAATTAAGCCTCTCGAGGAAGAGCTGGAACTACAGGCACATGCCACCATGCCTGGCTAAATTTTGTATTTTTAGTAGAGATAGGGTCTCACCATATTGACCAGGCTGGTCTCGAACTTCTGACCACAAGTGATCTGCCCGCCTCGGCCTCCCAAAGGATTACAGGCGTGAGCCACCGTGCCCGGCTGGTTTGCCAATATTTTTTTGAGGATTTTTGCATCAACATTCATAAAGGGTGTTGGTCTGTAGTTTTTCTTTCTTGTAGTATGTTTTGTCTGATTTAAGTATCAGGGCAATGAGTTAAAGAATAGTTTGAGAAGGATTGGTATTAGCTCCTATTTAAATGTTTGGTAGATGACTGGGTGCGGTGGCTCTCGTCTGTAATTCCAGCACTTTGGGAGGCCGAGGCGGGTGGATCACCTCGGCCTCTTCTGGTCAGGAGTTAGAGACCAGCCTGACCAACATGGTGAAACCCTGTCTCTACTAAAAATCCAAAAATTAGCCGGTTGTGGTGGCACACGCCTGTAATCCCAGCTACTCGGGAGGCTGAGGCAAGAGAATTGCTTGAGCCCGGGAGGCAGAGGTTGCAGTGAGCCGAGATGGTGCCACTGCACTCCAGCCTGGCCGACAGAGTGAGACTCTGACTCAGTCAATCAATGTTTGGTAGAATTCACCAATGAAGCCATCAGGCCTAAGGCTTTTCTTTGTCAGGAGGTTTTTGGTTATTGATTCAGTCTCTTTACTTGTTAATACCTTTTTGAGAAGAATACAAATTTGTTTCCCTTAACCTGTTTCAGTTTCACATTATAGCCAGCTAGGAGGAAAAGAAGGGACAATGTTAGGAGGGAAGTGGGGTGAGGATGGGAGCGGCAGCAAGCACCTGGCCTGTGTCCTGAGTATGGTCTGCTGGCTCTGGAGGACAGCCCTGAGGGCTCCACTCTGTGCTGCTCTTTGTCTTGTAAACATGTTGAGGATGAGACCATGTGGGCTAACCCACCCAGCCGTGTGGTTCCAGATGATGGATTGGTCACACACAGGGTTCTCATGAAGCCTGACTGGCAGCTTCCCTTAGTTTTTCTCAGAATTGAGCCCATTTTCGTTGTTGTTATCCTGACGGGGCCTGAGGAGGAGCCATACAGGAAGTTGCCCAGCAGCTGTAATCCTCCTGGGACTGTCCCCTGCCCCACCAGAAGAGGCTTCCCCAGTGACCCTCTGACTTACCTGTGGTTCCCACCTGGAGGATGGTGGTAGCTGGCAGGTTGAGAGACCGCCCTCAGCCAGATTTCCTGCTCTGCCCTTTGGGTCAGACCGGATGTCACAGGATGGACACAGCTGGCCCGGGGAAGCCTGTGTTATGTGGGACAGACTGTGTTTTTCAGGCCAGAGGCCTCCTGGGCACCGTGACCCTGGGAACAGTGACCTGTCTTAAGAGGAATAGAAGGTCACACCCAGGGTTTCCCATCTATAACTCAGACTCAGAAGAGCTGGGTATTTGTTTCTTTCTTCCGTCCTTTTTTTTCATGACTCACTGCAGCCTTGACCTCCTAGGCTCAAGTTATCCTCCCATCTTGGCCTCCTGAGTACTTGGAACTGTAAGCACGTACCACCATGCCTGACTAATTTTTAAATTTTCTGTAGAAAATGGAGTCTCACTGGGTTGCCCAAGCTGGTCTCGAACTCCTGGGTTCAAGAAGCCCTTCCACATTGGCCTCCCAAACTGCTGGGATTACAGACATGAACCACCGTGCCTGGCCAGAGCTGGGTGTTTCTCTAAGGACATCCTTCTTTGTCTTGATCCTGGAACATGACTGAAGGAAAACAGGAATCTTTGGAGCCATGGCACGTGAGAACCATCTGTCTCCTCAGAAAGACTGCCTTAGGTTGGAGCGGCCTCTTACAGATATTCTTGGCAATGCTGGGACCAAAGCCCAGGCCTGGCTGCCCTTGTTAGGGCACCTGGCCCAGGTCGGCTTTGCCCAGTTCCAGCAGGGGTTGGCGGGTAGGGGAGGAAGCTGGGGACATGGTGCTGCTGAAATTTGAGCCATCAGACCCAGTGGCACTGTCCAGGCCCTGTCAGGAGAGTGCATGGGGTAAGATGTGAGTCAGGGCTGGGGGAGGTGGGCAGGGACCTGGCCCTGCTATGCACCTGCTTGGGAGTCCTTGCCCTGCCTTGGCTCTGTGAGTCCACCTGGAGTCCAGCGCTCCTCATTACCCCACCAAGGCCACTGCCAGATGGCTCCCTCCCTCCTTCCCTGCCTTCCAGTGGAGGTCTCAGCATGGCAACTCAGCCCATATCTCTTTTCTGCCCAAAATACCGCAGAAGCTTCCCACAT